AGAACCTCACCACCCTCACAGTAAAGAATTTCTTTCCAACATCTAATCTAAATCGACCCTCCTTCAGCTTAAACCCATTACCCCTTGTCCTGTCGCTACACTCCCTGATAAACAGTCCCTCACCATCTTTCCTGCAGCCCCCTTCAGGTACTGGAAGGCTGCCAGTTAGGTCTCCCCAGAGCCACCTTCTCTCCAGGCTGAACAACCCCAACTCTCTCAGCCTGTCCTCATAGGAGAGGTGCTCCATCCCTCTGATCCTCCCTGTGGCCCTCCTCTGGACTCGCTCCAACAGCTCGATGTCTCTCCTGTACTGGCGCCCCCAGAGCTGGATGCAGTACTCCAGGTGGAGTGTCACCAGAGCGGAGTAGAGGGGCAGGATCACCTCCCTCGACCTGCTGGTCACACTGCTTTTGATGCAGCCCAGGACATGGCTGGCTTTCTGGGCTGCGAGCGCACACTGCCAGCTCATGTTGAGCTTCTCATCAATCAATACCCCCAAGTCCTTCTCCTCAGGGCTGTTTTCAATCCATTCCTCACCCAGCCTATAGTCGTGCTTGGGATTGCCCCGACCCACGTGCAGGACCTTGCACTTGGCCTTGTTGAACTTCATGCAGTTTGCACGGGCCCACCTCTCCAGCCTGTCAAGGTCCCTCTGGATGGCATCCCTTCCCTCCAGCATGTCGACCACACCACACAGCTTGGTGTCGTCAGCAAACTTGCTGAGGGTGCACTCATTGTCCATGTTGCTGACAAAGATGTTGAACAGTGCAGGTCCCAGGACTGACCCCTGAGGAACGTATGACTATGTCTTTGACTGTTGTAGTACAGCATTGCCAAAGTGCAACAATAAATATATTCTGGAAGCTTGGCTGGGAATGCCAAACAATTTCATATGTAAATATTTGGTGGTGTTAATTGTACCTTACAAACATTGTTTTGATGTGGCTTTTAGAATGCTTAAGTATCATAAAAACAATGGAAAGTGTTTGTGGTCTAGAATTATCTACAAGGTAGCTTACAGCTACATTAACATGAGTTTAGGTTTTATGTAAACAAATGGGAGCAAAGCAAGTGAAGCCAGACTACAATGGGAATGGGGGCTACATGCTGATGGTGATTGAGATAGTAGTTAATTTTTTCTCCCAGGTTTATCTTGAATGGATGTTCTGGTACAATGCACAGGCATGATGCTGCTAGGAGTTTATTTTGCAGATGAAACATAAAAGTACCATTAGTAACAGACCTCTCCCATGCCCAGTGCCCTGCTGTGTCAGACTCCATGTGCAAGGTGTCCTCCTGGGCAGGGAGGATGCCTGCCAGGTTACAGATCAGATTGGCGGGCTGTGGCTGCAAAACTCTGTTGAGGATACTAGTAGGGTACTGCAGAGGGCTTGAAAGAGGATGGTGGAATGGATCTCTGTGGATTTGAAACTGTCCAGTAATTAATATTTTTACCATCTTTGTTTTTAACCTTCCAGTAAATCTTTTCCATTATTTAATCGATGTGTTCCACAAAATCCTGAATGTTACTCCAAATACGCATCTGTCTTAATAAGTATGGTTAATGAAATGGATGTCTTTCACCGAATTCTGAGTGGAATATTGACAGGAAGAGATACTGTGATAGGACTGAGTGTCCTTGCACTAGGTAAGGTTATAAATAAAAAATGAAGAATAATATTCAATCAAAATGTGAGGTTTCAAATGTTTCTATTAACTTTATGTTTTTAATTTAAAAGTGGTCTTTTTCATGTTTTCTGGGCAGAGTTATTTTCAAGAAAGAGTGATTGTGTTTTATCAGGAGGTATTTAATAGACTGATGAAACACACCTCTATGAAATAACAGATTCTGTGTTCCTTGATATGATCATACACCTCATTTCAGAGGACTGTAAGAAAATGTTGATGATCAGCATGAACATTTTAACTTAAATCTTACACAAAATACTATTGAAAAGCTAATAATTCCCAAGGTGAAATATTTCAGTTATAAGCTCATTATTAGTAAGTTATAGGTAACTGTGTGTTTTAAATGTTAAAAACGTTGCCAGCTCTACTAAATGCTGTTGCTTTTGAGACCACTGTTTAAAAGCCCAAATTCTGCAAGAACCTTAAATTTATCTTTAAAGTAAATAAGAGTTAAATGGGTTGTAACACTGATAATAAACTAACTAACTTTATTTTTCAGCCTTCTCTTTTATACTGGTTTTAGCCTTCAGATTCATTCGGCCACTTCTGGTCCATACTTTGATTGCACTGGTTGTATTTGGTTTGTTATGTAAGTAGACTTACCTTTTAGCATATGCTTAGTTAAATGGGTCATCTCACTGAACTGGAGGAGAGGCAGCTGAAGAAACAGCTATCCTTCTTCTCCATGGCCGTCCTCAGTAATCTTAAGCTTACCACAGCCATTTCCAAGCGGAGCCCTGCTTGCCTTTTGGTGCCAAGGTCTGGATGTGCTGTTTCAGCTGCTGAGTGTTAGGATGATGATGATTTCTATTTTTTTTGGCAGATGAATGCAGTTATGAAATGCTACTGTTGCAAAGTTTAGTGAAGTTTTACACTGACTGCTTTAGAAAGGGAGAACTATAGGAATGTGTCCAGCTAAAGCTTATCATTCCATGAAAGTTAGCTTTGTATTTCCTCAGTGAAATTACATGCCTGAGCTTTAGAATAACTGCAAGAAAACCAAATGTTCTGCTGTGGTTTTACCTCAGACTAACAGACCATTATGTGAATTTTCTCTGTGTTCATTGATACTGCGCCTCTCTGCTAGGCAACAGTACTCCTGAGCTGGGCTCGGGTTGGGCAGAAGGGCGAGAGACTCTTGAGGGAGGCCAGGCAGACATCAGGGTGCTGCAGCCTGGGGAGTGCTGCCTGCCTTCATGCTGCTCTTTTTTACTCAGTTGTCTCAGGTGTTCTCTGGTGGCTCTATTATGACTACAGGAACGATCCCAGCACTGAACTGGAAACAGAAAAGGAAAATGTAAAATTTCTACTTGGATATGCTATCTTCTCAACAATAGTTACTGTAAGTAGCATTTTACCCTAAGCAACGACAGAGGACATAATTTGAAAATTTGAATGACAGTGGTTTGCAACAGTAAAAATAATTCCTCATTCCTTTCAGATTTGAAAATGAGAAACAATTATAAGATATGGTTACACTCATTTAAATAGTTTTATATCTTCCTTGAGAAATTTGTCAGCACAGGGCTCTGCCACACTTCAGCCCTGTACAAATGGCGTTAGCATTGGTGGTATAGAAATACAAGAATTATGTTCCCTCCCCACTCTTCTCTGCATCATCTAACTGAAGAATCATGTTGAATGAATAGAGGGGCACTGGCTTGATATGAATGTGAGATCTGTGGATTCCAACCTCTCTTTTAATTTCAGTTCATAGTTCCTTGTCATATACAAAGAACTGAGGATACTGTGGAGTTTTTGACTTGGAGTTTTGGTGGGTTTTTTTACTTTGGGGAAAAAAATTATTTAAATGTGGTTTCACTTTATGTCTGCTTTGCTTCCATATGTACACAGCTCTCAAATTAGTTTGGTTGTGCTACTGTCCTTTCTGCAGTAAAGGACTGGTCCTTCTGCCATTGCCAACAGTGGCAAGCTGACCTGAGTGTAAAGAGTCCATGCCATACAGGGTACGTGAAAGGAATGTGTAGCATGTAACGCACATTTGTGTTTGCTGTAAAGCAAAACAGACTGTTTCCATTGGGTCAGTTACAGTTTTGAGTCCTATTTTGTTTCAAAATAACAGTAGTAATCATTTCAGAAAAGCAGATTTTAATCCACAGGCTCTTTGAGAACATAGGCGGTGTCTTAGAAAGCTTTTCCTGTGTGCAGTAAGTTTGTGTAAAATGTCTTGCCATCATGTCTTTATGAAATCTGTAACACCTGATCCCACATTTGACAACCCTGCTACTTTTCTTAAGGAAAAAGAGCCAACAATGTGTCTTTTTATTTCCTGTAACAGGTTGTTGTGCTTTCCATTATACTTGTACTAAGAAAGAGGCTTCCGTTCACTGTGCAACTCTTTCAAATTGTTGGTAAAATCATTGGCAGAATACCTTTCCTCCTGTTCCAACCCCTCTGGACCTTTCTGATTCTCATTGTGTTCTGGGTAGTTTGGGTTGCTGTACTACTTAGCTTAGGAACTGCGGGTAAGTATGTGCTTTCCATGTTTTTGGATAATTGCTATCTGTTTCCCAAGTTCAGTTCTTAAACATGGGACCTCTTGGTGTCAGTGTACAAAATGTGGGCTAGCGTTGTTATACAGCTGTGTTACTCTTTCCTTTTTTTGTTTATTTTTTCCCCTGACTCGTTGAAGTCTTCAACATTGCCATGGTTCTATGAGTCATAGCACTACAGAAGAGAGATTTTTGCTCCTATATGTGGACTTTAGTTCTGTTCTTTCTCAATTATTTAATTTATTATTAGATTGTGGTAGATACAATATATCTTTGATGTATTTAAATGAAGAAGGTAACAGAAGGGAGGAGAGAGCTTGTGGTGTAGTTGTGATGAAATGGGAATGTTAATCTTTTCTGACTGTAGACAATGTCCACTTGTCATGGAGACAGAATGTTGTTTATGAGCAGTAGTTCAGTCACAACTGCTATGATTATTTAGACTGGTACAACAGTATTTGGATTAATCCAGAGGTTCTTGCAGTTGTAGGGGAGGTCCTCTGTAGAAATAGTCAATCACTGTGAAAGATCTGCAAGATACAGAGTATGAGATCTGTCACTGATTGAACTGGAGTGATTCGGATGCTGTGCCTTGGCATCACACCGTCCAAGGGAGGGGCAGGTGGTTCTTCCATACACCATCACCCAAAGATGGGAAGCTAAACTCTGTGTAGCTCTAGGGATAACTTCTCATGCAGACATCAATCTTTGTACATAGGAAGCATTATTATTTGGGGTTAGGTGGAGGCTTGTTTTGTGGGGTTTTTTCATTTTAAATTTCTAGGGCCAGTACTAGGAGTCAGTTGTTGTCCTTTAAGTTGGAGCTGATGCAGAATTGATGTGAATAGAGACAGTTGTTTGTTATTCTCAGATTTATTCATGGGTTTTCTATTTTCTGAATTTTGGCAGTGGTTTCTGTGTGGAAAACCAAATGCAGCCTAGCTCCTCAAATGCTTATGTGTCACCATTTTATTTTGCGTTTCTACCACCGCTTGAGACAGTGGCTGCAGTAACTCCTCTGTACAGGCTTACAGATCCCTGCTAGGTCTGACCTTTCCGTAGCTGAGCCTATTTGGCAAAACTGGCAGAATTCCCCACCTCCATGGGCCAGATACTTCACTACTCTTCCATCACAACTGCTTCCATCTCAGTCTCACCCTGTTAGTTCTGGCTCTGTACAAGACCCACTTCACTTGTAACATGAGAGTCTGTCTGAGTCCGTGCTGGCATTGTAAATCACTCACCCATTGCTTAGGCCAGGCTAGGATCTGTTTCCCTGCAGCTTTCGTTGGAGAATCATGCAGGCTTGCAAGGGTTTCTCTGTTTCTGCTGCCTTTTCCCCAGTAGCTCATGACTGTCAGAAATGACTGTTTGAAGCACTTACCTGGCTGATAACCTGCTTCTCCTGCAAAAGGGTCAGACCTAGCAGGGCCAACCTGCAGCCTCTTTGTGAGTTGTTCCTGGCTGACTAGTCAGGCAGATTCACTTTGCTTTAGGTGTCATGAATATTCCTTCTCCACACTCCTCTGAGTTGACTTTTCCCTTTACAGAGTCAGCGTTATGTGCTAGACACACCTTTGTGTGGTGTTAGCTTTTCTGCGAAATCTTCATCCCATTTATGCACGTATCAGCCAGGCAGCAGTAATTCTCAAACTGGCCCTGTGGGGTACCTTATCACTGGTTCAGACCAGTCCTTTATAGAAAGGAGCATCTCCTGAGCTATCAACCAACTGTTCATTTCATGCACCTGCTTGGATCAGATGCAATTTAAGATTAACTATAGTAAATCTAGTAGCAGGTAAACAAAATAAATGATAATGCACAGATTTGCTAAATATGTAATTAACAATAACTATTAGAGGAAGTATTACATCCTTGATGTTAAGCTGAGCTGGCCCATTACCCACAGGAAAATTCACTGGTACTCCTAATATGCACACATAAGAATGTGAAGCTTGCCCTTGTTAAATCTAAATTTAGAAAATGCCAGCTGAGTCTGTTGTATTCAAAAGCTTTTGGAAATGCAGGAATCATTAGAAGAGTAGAAACATTTTAGCTCACATGACAGAAACAGCTTGATGATAAGTGCAGAATGGGGTTTTAGTCAGGTATTTCCTTGATGCTTTTACAGACTTTGCAGGAAAGTAGTGACTTGCACATTATACCCGAAAGCAAATTCCACACGGTGGACAACTGCCTTTGAGAGGCTTTTTATGCTTTTTCCATGTTGTGCCATTTTCCTTCATTGGTTATATTCTCTGTTTCCTGCTAGACATTTCTATTCAACCTTTTTTTTTTTTTTCTTCTTTCCTTTTTTTCCTGCCTGCTTTTTCCTGCCTGCTAGGATTCAAACAGTTTGTGACCTACTGTTGCATTCATAGTGGAGCACATGTCTCCTGGCTCAGAGGTGTTTTATTTTTTGTCTTCTCCCTAGCATAATAGGCATGTTGATTTATCCAGTGAGTGATACAAGCAGTACAGTACAGAAGGCAGCATAACCTTGCTGCACAGTAGAGCAATGTTAAAGTTTCTAGGATGCTCTCAGTTTGGAAAGAATAACTTTTTGCAGATTTTGCATAGGAAGGGAAGGTCATTTCCAGGCACTTAACTGTCAATGTATTGCTCATCTGAGGAATCTAGTAAAAGATACCTTTTTACTGAAATAGTCTGCCAGGATATTTTTAGTGTAGATGTGAATCCTTGTAAGATTTTTCTGTTAACAGTTACCGTGTTAATATTTAGAAGAGGATATGCATTTGATAAATAATCCATACCAATTCTAAGTTGCAGCCTAAGCATGAATGCCACTCTACATATTCGATTATTTTTCTGGTTAAAACTTGATTCTATTAATTTTATCATTTGTATTTGTAACTATTCTTTTTGTTAAGCTGTTTATGTTAAACGGTGGCTGTTGTTATCCAACAGGCGTAAAGGGACGACTTAGCAAAGTCCAGGGGCCGAGGTATTTATGTAAATAACATGTAAATGACCTGCAGCAGCCTCAGTGCCCGCTAGGTGCTGATAAAGTAATATAAGAAAGTTTCTTCTGAATCTGCACAGTTGTTTACAGCTGCTCTGATTACTGAGTAACTCCTCCTGAGAGGAGTTCGAAGACAGCAAAGGCAATTTTAGCCTTTTAATGATCTGGGAGGTTGTGAAGGATTGTTTTATGCAACTGTTAGGTTGAGGAGAATTGTCGTGGTGACAATTGGTTGGTATCAGCGAGAAGTGTGATGGTTGGTTGGATTTCCAGTCCCATGCTCCACCTCAGATTTGTTTTCTCAAAACTTGGAGAAATGAACAGTAGGCTAAATTTGGTATTGAGAATATTCCTTTATTTTCAACCCAAATATGGCTCCTCTGAAATGCTGCCTGTTAAAGCAGCTCACAATGGCGTAGCTCATTGGGGGTTGTTTTGCTGTTCTAAGATGACTAGTACTTACACATCCTGTAACAGTAAATAAATATAGTACTGTATGGTTAATAGTGCATTGGCAGAACAGCTTTGTATTTTCTACGTGTTTTCTTCAATCGTCCTGTAAGTGGAAGACACTTCTTTTGCTTTTTGAGTTCTGGGGACTTTTTGCAACAGCTGAGAGTACTTCTCTGAAGATCTCCCATGATATACTCTCTTTGAGCAATTTGTTTTCTATGTTGACAAATAGTTGCCTAGCCAAGATTCAGTTTGTAAAATACAGGTGGTGGTTTTCTTAGTTTTCACACTTTGACTTTTTATTCTCACAAATATATTTTCTGGGGCTATGGAGACTATCTTTTAAATGCAAATATACGAAGAAAGCTGAAAAAAAATGAAATGTTTACAAAGACACTAGTCTTTTGTCTAATACAGAGAGATGGGCAAGTGAAATGGGCTTGATGCTGTGCTGCACCTGTTCTTAACATTTTCCTTGAATCTTCACTAGTTATATAACATTTATAGCGTCTCTGCACCTTAAGCGCTGGAGCATTTGATCCTCGCTTCAGCTGTGGTGCACCTGATTGTTATGTGACCATGCAGGCACCTTATTTACATCCCCTCACAAAAGTTAGTGTTACTCTGAGAAAAGACTAACTTCTTGGGAGCTATAGAAAACTATAGCCCACACTTGGAAAGGTACTTATGCACGTGACTAACTTGACACACATAGATAATCCTATTAAAATCAGTGGGACTACTTAGACATTTTAAGGTAGGCACCTGCTTAAGTACCTTGGTAATTCAGAATCTGTAAGAGCAGCAGAGACTGAGTGAATTCCAGACCTAGAAAACTAGGAGAAATGCCAGACTCCAGGAGACTTGAGACAGCACAAACAGTGGCACCAGTTAGAACCATTAGCTGGCTAGGAATGGAATTCAGCTGTGCTTTGGAAAAGCTGATAGGTCTTAGGGTCATTGAGTCTTATTGTTTGCTAATTTGTGTGGCATTCACTGCAGAACTGAAGTGGCCATGTGGCACACCAAAGCATGCCTTTCAACTTTCCAGCATGCAGAAGCTGTGAAGTCCACATGGCATAAAGACTATGCATGTAATATAGGATGAGAAAGTGGTGTGAGTTTTTCATGTAATGAAGGTGCATCCTACAGGCAAGTGAGCAATAAAGCTGCCACATAAAGCTGTGCAGTAGCAAAACCAGCAATAAAAGTGTATTTCCTGCAAGGTTCTTGACATTCCAATTACAGGCAGCTAGCTTAGCTGTAAATACCACTACATGGGAAAAAAGCTAAATAAAATAAGACAATAAATTTTATTGCAGGAAGCATGAAGGTTCAGCGTGTGATGCCAGAACCTTTCCTCACTTAGCAGTGGGAAGGGCGCATCATATTTTCATGTTAACAGGAACTGATAAACAGACTCTCGGTATTTTCTGGTCAGTGGTTCTTTGTTTCTGATAATGAAATTGCTGAACTAGACTTCCCAGGAATTTTCATCCCTTACAACAGCCGGCTGCTCTAGGCATCAGCAAAACCTTGCAGCAACAGTTGCCAAATAAGAGCATCTGACATAAGTCTGAAAGTACCAAAATGTAGCTGATAATACTGCATGTGCACACTGACTTCAGTATCGTTGCATTGCTGTGTTGACATCATGGTGCAGCACTGGGCAGCACTGGGCTGCAGAGTCAGTTGGAGAACCTCTTCTGAATTCTGCTACAAACACTTGTGCTTGTTTGCATTGTTAACAACACTTCTTTGAAGTATTTGCAGCAGATCAACATTTGTACTGATCAGAGGTTTTCAGATTTGGTGATTCAGGTGTAGGGACTTCTGTTCTTTACTGACTTCTTAATGTTATCACTAACAGTGTGTAGTACACCAGAAAGATTTGTGATTATGTAGTTGGAGTAAAATTTCTGTTGCAAATTAAACCATATTTCAGAGCTTTGTTAAGAAAGTTTAGCTTGTGTGAACAGATAGATCACTGTGGAGCAATGAGGAAAATGGCATATACTTTTCTCCACAGGGTATCTAGGAAAGCTTTAAAGTGTATCTGTGCTACTAAAACATAAGAAAAACAGCATTGCATGTAATTCTGTTGACAAAATTATGCATGCACGGTAGGCCCACAAGACAGGGAATCAGTCAGACACAGATATTTACATTGGTTAACAGCTTTCTTTGAGATAACAAAACCAATTTACTGTACCTAGACAGCAAAGTGATCAATGGTGAACTCACAGGTGGATGTGCCTGATTTCAGTGCAGCTGTGCACATGCACATGTGTAAGGTTGGCCAGGAAACAAAAAGCCATTACTGTTGTTACTGCAGGTGGTTATTTCAGTAGGCTGGTAAAAAGCAAACAGTTAGTTTACCATACGTACATTTGTGTGTCTTCATGACAAAACTACAGAAGCAAAGCCTGAAATGTGCCTTTTTTGGAAGAGAAATGTTGAGATGGATTGTATGGTGGAAAATGTGTTTAATTCTGCTACCAAATGGCATAATGTCTTTGCATAAAAATGGGGAGGTAGGAGACCTTCTTGTACCTCATTGACCCTTCATTTGCATAAGTTCCCTCTGTAAGGGCTATAGGCTATATGGTTAAGGAGCATATTTGGCTAGTTGTGTGTGCTGCAGGAAAACAGCAGTCTATAGCCTCTGGAAGAGGTATGGGAGATGAAAAATCCCTTGAATTCAGAACAAGAAGGAATGGTATAGCACATAGCTTATTTTAATGTACCAAAGTAAATGAATCTATCCTGCAAAATTCCCCTTAAAAAACCCAAACAATCAAACCAAAAAACCCCAAACAAAAAAAGCTTTTGCATCCAAACTTAAAACCACGGAGGCAGGGAATGGGGAGGAATGGCTGAGAGCTTGTGAGAAGAGATCTGAGATACAAGTAATAGCTTTTTCACACCATCAGGTATCTTGCATTGCACAGGCTTAAAATACACTTGAATATAATGGAAATAATGGAAAATAAAATAGCTAGACCATATGTCTCTGTGTCCGCTTCAGCAAAGGCTGCCTTGAAGAACAGGTCTGATACAGTACCTACAGACTCCTCCTTGAGGCCAGCTGTACTGTGTTGATGGATGCAAGTCTTGATTACAAGAGTGCCAAGAATAAGATTGACTCAGCTCTGGGAACAATGCTTAATTTGTAGGCTGTAAATCTATTCATAGACTTACTCTTTTCTTCTTGCCCTTGAATAGCAAGTAGCTCTTCTCTGAGCATCTAAGAGGGGTGAGTTTCTTGTAGTGCTAATGTTGTAGGAGTAAAATAATTCAATTTATTTTATGCAGATACATATTTAAGCTAATGATACAATAATTATGGACCCATGTAGCATTTTTTGATCCTTTCAGAGCACTTTACAATAATTTTCCTGTGCTACTCTGAGGTAGATGAATATTTTTTATAATTTACAGACAAATGGACCTTGATTCTGAAGACTTACAAAGCTTGTCTAAACCTGATGGTATTGCTGAGAACAAATCTTTATTGTTTCTACTTGTAGCTATTCTTGAGTAAGAACTCTGTGGCTATAGAAAAATAGGACAGAAATAAGTGAACCATTTCATAGGTAGTTTTGTATTCTGTGGTAGTTTTGAACTTGAAGGTGATGCACTGTCCTGTGGGAGAACATGAAGTATTAAAGCTTAAATTGTAGTGTTGCTCTAGCAGTAATAGGCAATTCCATGTTTCACTTTGTTATTTCTTTCATGGAGTTAGAATAAGAAACTACTCACCTCTAAAGATCATTTTATTCTGTGAACATGTTTATTTTTATGGTTATAATCTTAAGGCTTGGTGAACTAAAAAAATGGCAGGTTATGGACCTAGAGACCTTTCACTAGGAACAAATGTCCCGATGCCATTATCCCCTGACTAGACTTCAGAGTCAAGTGGCATAAATAGGATTGCATAGAGAAAGGTCTGATTGCTAAGTTACCTGAGTTACCCCACCTTTTCTGAAAAGCCATCTATTGAATATGGAGTAAATTCTTTATTATTAACAGAACTGAAGGCAATTATTTTTTTTTTTTTAGCTTGAATAAGTGAATTTGTCAATGTTCCTGAATACAGTAGTAACATGGGAGCATATACTACCATACAGGTGTCTACTTTTTTTTTTTTTTGAGAGGCTGCCTTTATGTGTCTGTGTTTTGCATAAAGATTGCAAAGTATAGAGAACAGAAAACTACTTGCCATGGTTCTAATTAGTAATAATAATTAAAATAATAATTTCACTGTTGCAATAGTACATTATGCATCCTTAATGTTTTTCTGCAGTCTTTCTCTTTTGCTTCTTACAGAAAAAGTCTAAATCATTTAATAACTAACTGTGACTTTATTTCAAATTTGAATTAAGAAAATTAAGATTTCATTTACTTCTGAAGTGTTTGATTAGTCAAATCTTGAGTAAAGTTTTCTCAGAAATCTATACTAATTTGTAGCTGTGTTCTTGACTTTATTGGCAGCTGTGTCTCAATCCCAATTTAAATCCAAGCTTTTGCTTTTTGTAAGATTTTATCTTTCAAAATTCTATTTAAATTACAAAATTTTGTCTCTCTGACTTTGTTAGAATGGATAGAATTAAATAGTACCTGAATTTATTTTTTAATTTTATTGAAGAAAAGTTAAGAAAAAGGGTATAGAAGCACTTACATGTACTTTTTTTTCTTCTTTTTTTTTTTCTTGCCTGGTGTGTTATAATAATACAGTGGTATAATCCCCACTCCAGGAATCCCCACTCCAGGTACTGCACAGACTACTTCAGGAGGACAAGTAGAATACAGAGCTCTGTCTGGAATTTGCTACATGGCATGGTATCATTTCATTGGCCTTATCTGGACTAGTGAATTCATTCTTGCCTGTCAGCGAATGACAATTGCTGGGGCAGTGGTTACTTGTTACTTCAACAGGTGAGTGCAGAATTCCCCCCCC